GCCGCCGCGGACTGAATCGGGAACCCGGCGAGGGGGTGCCCCGCCTCCCGAACTCACCCTCGCCTTGGCTCCTCCCTCTGCACCCCTCCCCCGACCCCTGGAAGTCTCTCACGAGCGTAAGCCGGGCATCCTAAAAGAGATGGTTCTCTTTGATAACACTCGCAGTTTACAAAACATTTTGACAATTACCATCACCGTAAAGTTCTGACAGCAGTCGCCCCGCATCGTCTCATGTACGTTTTTCAGAAGAAACAAGCTTATGGGACTCCAGACCCGCTGCTGTACCTAGAGGCGGAGTCGAAATCACTTCCTCCCTGCCAGCCACCCAGACGAGCCCTCCTGCCGCCCAGGGCGTTCTTGAGGGTGCAGTTGGCTCTGGAGCTGTTTCAGGACAGTGAGTGGTCACTGGGGAGCTGATCAGCTTATCCCCATATGAGCCCATTCAGAGCTGGCTTCTCCACCCAGCGGGAAACCAAAACTGCAGTATGGAATTTGCCTGAAATATTTATGTGTGGAGAGAAGGATTCCTTTGCCCACATGCTTATTCGGTGGAGAAGTTAGCCTGATGACCAGCGTAGTCCCGTTACCAGCTGAGACTGCTTACTCCTTGTCTGGAGATAAATTACAGCTCTAGGCCTAGGGGAAAATGTTTACATCAACTGAGGAGCAGGGGCGTGAAACTGAGGCTGATTCCAAAGGAGTTATTTTACATCAGTATAAGTTGTAGATGATGGTAGTCACAAAAATAAATCGTTTATATATACAAACGAGCTCTGAAGTAGAGTGACAACCCTCTCCCTCCAACACCACTAATAAACGAAAAAAGTTTGACCTCCATTGGTGCATTTAATATTCCAGATCTGTGCTTTGCATGGGTTTTTAGCAGACTATCAGTCTTTATTAATGAAATAAAATCTTATGTATTCATTTCTGCATCTGTGTGAGGGTCATTTTACCTTTTTTAAAAATGAAAATTATTCTTTAACACATGAAATGTTTCCTTTTTATATACTTGTTTAAGATATTTAAATTTGTACAATGGTTTATGTCATATCTACTTTTCATTGATTAAATTCAGCAGGAAATTTTCTTTTTCAGCATTAAATCCAAGAAATAATTTTGAAAATGTTCGTTACTATGTTGAGGCTCGAACTTTTTATTTAAAGAGAGGAGACTTTAAAAGACAGAATTTCCATTGTGGTGTTTGCATTTCCTTCTATCCCGAAAGTGTTCCTCTCTACCTTTTGTAAAAAATCAGATTGATCAAATAGTGGCTGCTAATCTGCAGATGCAGTTCCTTCTCTAACCAACTGCTCCTGAAATGAAATTTAGGCTGCATCTGCCCATGTCCCACAGTTTGAAATGCAATTTTCTACTAGTGGTGGTCTGGGGAAGTGCAAATGGGAGATTCATTCTAGTTTTCATCTGTGTATGAAACATTTGCACTCTATGGTTCAGGGCAATCACTCTGTAAAATCTCTGGGGAGAGTTTCTCTCATGTCTTCTGGTAACACTCAGTTTTGTGCAGGAGCTTCATGGGTGAATGCAGTGTGCTTCGTGCCTCAAACTCAGTGGCACATGATGTTGACTTGTTCCCTGATGGAACACTTCCCTAAGGGAATCATTTCCCCACGGAAATGTGACTATTTCCCCCCTTGTAATTGGGGTCTTGGGGTTTTTTTTTTGGTTGTTGTTGTTGTTTTGTTTTGTTTTTAGTACCTCAGATTGAACTCAGGACCTTGTGAAGCAGGCACAGTGCCACTGAGCTACATCCCTGGCTGTAATTAGTTTTTTATGGAGAGATATTTTGAAATTTTTGCTTGTTTCTTGATTCGATTAATTATAATTAGGAGGGCTGTCAAATGGTAATTTTCTAATTCCATCATTTTTTCTGTATTCATTAACCCTTTTACTGTAAGAAAGAGCCTTCCCTTCTTATTTATTTCACTATGAACTAATGAATTCTTGAATTAATATGTTTTATTCCTTTAATTATTTCAGTGCTTGACTTTTTAGATTTGGCTGTGGGAACGCTGTCAGTTTGGCTCTTGTGTCATTTTGGCATGTTCTTTTAAATCTCACATTACTTCCTTTTTGGGACAGTGAGATTTTCTGAGGTCTTTGTGGATTTTTTCCAAGAAAACTGATGCTTTTTAGTGGAAGATGGCAGTTAGAAACCAAGCTGTGCAGTTGGTTTAGGTGTCCTTATTGCAACTGCGCTATTGTTCACCAGAAAATCATAACTGTATGTATGTATCTATGTATGCATATACATAAGTGTTCATATGTACACACCTGTATCTATAAAACATGAGTCCACAGTGAACACCTCCAATTTCACTTTCTCCCTGTTTTTCCATGTGTGTATAGTTCACAACAGTTTTCATTATCTTCCAGCTATTAAAAATTACTATATTAGCTGAGGATTTAGCTCAGTAGCACTGCTTCCTGCCCTGCAAGCACAAGGTCCTGAGTTCGATTCCAAGTTTTACAAAATTACTATATTAAAGATAGTTTGGCTGTTTCTTACAAACTAACCAAACTTTTACTGTAATCCAGCAACTTCATATCTTGGTATCTACCTAAAAGAGTTAAAAATATAGGTCCACACAAAAACCTGCATACAGGTGTTTTTAGCAGCTTTAGTCATAATTGCAAAGCTTAGAAGCAACCAAGATGACCTTCAGTTAGGTGAATAAACTGTGATATATCCAGATGATGAAATATGATTCAAGGCTAAAGAAACTATCAAGACATGAAGATACATGGAAGAATCTTAAATGCATATTACTAAGTGAAAAGTGAAAGAAGCCGCTAAAAAGCTTGCATACTGTTGATTCCAACTAAAACATTCTGGAAAAGACAAAGTTATAGAGATAGTGAAAAAAATTACGGGTTGGTAAGGGAAAAATAAATGGAGTTCAGAGGATTTCAGGGCAATGAAACTACTCTTTATAATAGTGTAATGGTGGATACATTTGTCCAAACCCACTAAGGATATACACCACCATGAGCAAGTCCTGAAGTCCACTGTGGGCTTTGGGCAATTATTTTAGTCCATTTTCTGTGATCATAACAATATCACCGATGGTAATTTATAAAGAACAGAATTTTATTTGCCTCATAGTCTGGGAGTCTGGAAAGCTCAAGAACGTGTTATGGAAAATATCTGTATCCTCCTCTCAATTTTGCTGTGAACCCAAAGCTGTTCTAAGAGAAAGTACTATACAGGAACATGTTGATTAACAGCAGGAATGTGTTTCAAGAAATGCACTGTTTGGTGATGTTGTTGTATTTCCACACTACATTACATTCTGGAATGTATTTACACAAACCTAGAGGACTATGATAGTAAGCAACATAATTTTATAGAACCACCATGTGTGTGCAGTCCGTTGTTAACTGAAACATCCTGTGTGACACATGATAGTGCTTTTTATTTTTGCCAGTATGATAGAAGAACCATCTTACAGTTGGGCATGGCTGTGTATGCCTGTAATTCTAGCTACTTTGGAGCCTGAAGCAGGAGGATCACAAGTTCCAGGACAGTTTGGAAAAGATCAGAACCTTGTAAAAAAAAAAAAAAAAAAAA